CCCCCTTTGCAATCACACCAGTTTCTCCTCCCAAAATCTTCAACCCAGAAGAGAGAAGATCTGGAGGTCCCTGTCCTATGTGGTTTTACCACCAGGACCTTGGGAAAACACAATAGCCACAAGCACATCATCATGGGGATGCAGACAAACCTCAGCAGATTCTCATGACCTGCCCAAGGCTTTCTGTAGCCCTTGCTTTCCAGAAATTCTTTAAAGACCTGTGTGCTGTGAAGCTGTGCAACTTCCATCTGCTGAATTATTTTCCACAGTAGATTAAAATGAAACATTCAAACTTCATTTTAATGTATGGGTTCCACATGCCTAAAGAAACCTCACAGTGCATATCTGTCCAGATTTCATGACAACTTACCAATCAATAAATATTTTAACTACTAACAGCTCTAGCTAGTTCAGATGTCATAATTTCTTTTCAAAGAAATCACATAGCTTTATGACTGTGACACTGCCTTTAACAAATTATAACCTAATATCCTGCAATCCAATGTCCTCTGCTACCAAAGTAATTTCTCCCAGCATCTTTGTAAGGAAGGTAGGAAGAATTATTTGTCATTATCTACCTTTGTGTTCTTCTGAGCTCAGCTGTTCTCAGGTATCCCCTCTGCAAAACGTATTCCTTTGACTTACAGTGTTTCTTCATAAAACAGAAATTACACTTAATCAGCTCACCAACCCTTTGCACGAGGCAGGATTTTAGTCCCATGGAACTCCTCGGTTCTGCCTTTGGAAGGACTGCCCTCTAGAGCAGGAAACACGTCTGTTCTCTTTTGTCTAGGTATTAAAGCGTGGAGATGATTATATTTTTGTTTAATACCCTAAGGCTGGAATGGAACACAAACCTTATAACTTCTACTCTTTCAGCAACTGTTGTATCTAAACTAACATCATAGAACCAAGACAGACTAAAACTGCTCCAGGGATTACCAGACATGGCACTCAGGATGGAAGCTTAGCAAGCTTTTCCAGCCCCTGCTGGAAAATTCCAGCCCACGCTGAATGTACCTTCTTTACAGCTCTTGTGTTCACGTCACTCAAGGGCTTGAGGGGTGTGGAAAACCAATGAAAATACAACTCGGAAACTTCTAACTTCAGCACTATTTACCCTGCCAGGCTCATTTTTGGCAATGCTTTTGTAAATCAAAGATTGAAAATTCAGCTATAAAATCTAAAGAGTTAGAGTTGTTACACTTCTACTCTGTCATCCTCATAAAACATTAGAAAGGACTCATTTGAAGATGATACTTTTGGGGTGTTTAAGCACCCCTTTAGAAAACCCATTTGCCATTTCAAACAAGCCTTGGCTATTTGGTTACTCCTCAGCACATGTAGGTTTTCACCTTTACAAACTGATTTGCAAAGAACCACACTCCCTTCAGCTGATTCAATACAGAGAGAGGTTTGTGCTGCAAGCAAAGGGATGCCACTGGATGCAAAGCTCAGACTGACAACCCTGTAGTGCTGCTTCACATCAACCAGGATTGTTGTTTTCCCACTAGAGCTGCTGCAAATGACTGAGCTTTTTTCAAGGCTGTTGCTGTATCACCTCATGAGTATAGAACCTTCCTTATGAGATTTAAGAGGGCGTATTAAGATAGAATTAAGCTTAGTGGAAATCTATTGGAATGATGAATTTGCTCTGTAGAATTCACTGAGCTAGCTAAAATAGACTATTGTATATTTATTGAGCTAGCTGGACAGGTTATTGTGTTGCACATTTAGTAGGAAGATAGGAGGAGGGAAGGGCCCACCTGCTGCACTTTGATACCCCCGGGACCCACCTGTCCAGTCAGTGTCACTGCCCAGAGCCAATTGGCATCCCTGGGCCCCAAGTTAGGGGGTGACTGCCAGGGGCACAGGGTGGCTTGTGGCCCATCCTTTCTGTCCCGCACCACATCTGCTGTTTTGGGTTCAGTTGTCCTTGAGAAGCAAGTCTGTTTGAGTCCGTGAGCAGGGAATCAGGAGAGGCCTCTGCTGGCTGAAAAGGCATTTTGTTGAGGCTGATGTGGGGAAGAACAGTTTCCCACATCTCACCCCGTGGCTTTTAAGGCAGCAGGTTGCAAAGTGAAGTTTTATGTGCATTAATAGATATCCTATCTGGATAGGACCTCCCTTTGGTCCTTAACCCTCTCCCTTAAAGGCACAGGACCTTCTGCACTGCCTCCCTAAAGGACACTTTCTCACTATATCTATCTATCTGTCTATCTATCTATCTATCTATCTATCTATCTATCTATCTATCTATCTATCTATCTATTATCTATCCTATCTATCTATCTATCTATCTATCTATCTATCTATCTATCTATCTATCTATCTATCTATCTATCTATCTATCAGTCATCTATCATCTATCTATCTATCTATCTATCTATCTATCTATCTATCTATCTATCTATCTATCTATCTATCTATCTATCTATCTATCTATCTATCTATCTATCTATCTATCTATCTATCTATCTATCTATCTATCTATCTATCTATCTATCTATCTATCTATCTATCTATCTATCTATCTATCTATCTATCTATCTATCTATCTATCTATCTATCTATCTATCTATCTATCTATCTATCTATCTATCTATCTATCTATCTATCTATCTATCTATCTATCTATCTATCTATCTATCTATCTATCTATCTATCTATCTATCTATCTATCTATCTATCTATCTATCTATCTATCTATCTATCTATCTATCTATCTATCTATCTATCCTATCTATCTATCTATCTATCTATCTATCTACCTACCTACCTACCTACCTACCTACCTACCTACCTACCCACCCATCCCTGTTAGCCATTCACACCAGCATTTCCCCAGACATCACCCCTCAGCGTGCTCACCCCTCACAAACCCACCGGCCTGCGGATCGAACCTCGGTGCTGGGGGCAGTTTCTGGGGGGAGGTGCCTTCCAGCCCACGTGCGGCCCTCGGGCTCAGCCAGAAGCCCCTCCCCGTGGGCAGGGGGAGCCCAACAGCCCGTGCCGGGCGGGCCCCAGCCCGGGCCGCAGACCCCCCCTCTCACGGCGCTGAGGG